AAACAAATGTTCCAGGGCACAAACAAAACTAGCATACCTTAAAATAATATTCCACAACAGGCAGTGGTGGCACATGCCTTTAGTCCCATCACGCAGGTTACCTCTACCTAGAATGGTTGAAGTGAGGTCCTCTTTACCATAAAACTTAAGATAAACTTAAGATTTCTATTTAGGAAGTTTCCAGAAGCAAGAACGTCTCAAGCCTTAAAGTTGCTTTCATCAGCTTTTATTCTGCTAGGCTTGACATTTCAGCTGAACTTCCTTCATTCCTCAGGAGATGTGGTAAATTTCTTAAAAGAATACATACCCACCTTTGCAGTTTTATCAGTACATGCATGTAACCCACAAAGCGCCAAAAGAACAATTGACTGGGATGGAACACACTACAGGAGTCATCTCGTGTTATCATCTTCATTCTTTATTCTAGCTAACATACAAACTCCACTCTGCTTGACCCTGTCATACTAGCAATCCTGTTCTCAGTAAAGCACTGTATAATAACTAAGGAACAAATCAGTAACAAATAGAAGAGAGCTGATGTGGAATTATGATAGAAGGCCTATACCTAAAGGAAGCCAGGGTCTTTTAAGTGGAAGAAATCTTTTAATAAGACAAGGACAGAAAGGACATCAGCTATGGCAGAAAACCTCTAATACTCAAGCTTACAAAACATGTCAGACATTTCAGTAGACAGCATGTACTATCTGACAAGCAGTGTTACTTCACTCCAGCCACTCCACGATACTTACTATTGCTGGATTCATTTCACATAACAGAGACCCTGAGCCAATGTGAACATGCCCAATTCTAAATCTTAGCAGCTTGGCTTGTGAGTCGTCCTTTTAACAAGTCTACTGATTTCCTCCCAATAGACAGGTTCAAGAGCAGCTGTCTCATCTACTTCAGACTGCTTTTACACAGAAAATACCATGAGTCCAATAAAGGTTCAAAAGCTGAACAAATCAGGTGGAAGCCAACTCTGCCATTTAATAATTGTGTCATTTTGGGAGAATCTTCTCTCCTATAAAGAGTCATTTCCTAGGAAAACTTTTTTTTAGTTCTAACAAGATTTTAAAGCAAAAAAAAAAAAAAACTAAAATGAGAATATAAGCATGTATAACATAAGACTACATAAATAGCATGAAATACATCCATAAAAATACTGAGAAATGTTAATGTTTCTAATGACCTAAGTATAAAATTTGGAAAGCTTAAGAGTATAGTTACTGATCTTTGAAATAATCTATTTTAATAACTTGTCCAGTCTCACATTAAATAAAAGGAGGGAGGGGTTGTTTTAAGCACAATCCAAACATATACAACAGATAATGAATATGCACGTCAGACCTGTAAAGATTTAATTTTTAAAAGCAGTATGAAAATCAAATGTAAGATAACAACTCCAATAATAAAAGTCCAGATACAAAATGGACTTTACAGCAACTTTAACATGATTAAAAAGGAGAAGAAAATGAAGACTACACTGAAAGTAGTCCCCCACAGTCCTGTGGCCTAAGAGAATCTTCACCAGTAACCACCTTCCTTATCTGTTTCTCTGGGAGTTAGGGCTGTAAAGAGCACTTGCCATACAATCTACTTTATACAAACATAACAATTAACAACACATAATTTAAATAGCAAAATGTATTCCAATTCACAAGACATCCACACTGAAAATGAAAAACTATTCTGTATAATAATTTAAACTGTAACTAAACGATATTAAAAATATACTTCTACTTACAGCGAAGAAGTCAAAATCGGTAAACTAATACCTGTGTGGGTAGTGTACGATATGAATGTATTAGCGACGATTTTCCCTTGTTTCCCTTCCAAGTCTTCATCCCCTTCTTCAGAGGAGGAGGAGCTGCAATTCTCCTCCACAAGTTTCCTGGCTGCAGCTTCGTTGGCCTTCTTGATCTCCTCAAATTTCCTCTGAGACGTTAGCTCTGCTTGCAAAGCAGAAAAAAAGAGAAATTTCACTTCTGCAAATCAGTGTCTTCACAAAGCATGGCATGATGTAGAATCACACCTCTCTTTTATTTCTCAGGTCATCGAGACTCCACTTTGACGATTTTATCAGTTTTAAACACACATTTGAAAGCCACCTTTAGAATATCCTATGTTCTTACCATCTGTGAGGGAAAAAAAAAAATCTAATTTCTTACCACAGACCCAAAGAAAACAACATGACAAACACTAACTTTAGAAGAATCCTACAAAAGTAATCAAGAGTCATAGACACAGAGACTAACAAACTAATGAGAAATTCTAATGTATAGTAAAAGTGTCAAACACCTCATGAAGAGTCTCAAAAAATTTAAATGGAAATGAAATGTTAAAATACACTATACAAGTCAGGTGTGGTGGCAAGTGTCTCTAATCCCAGAACTCAGGAGACAGAGATAGGTGTAACTCTCTGTGAGTTCGAGGTCAGCCTGGTCTACAGAGTGAGCACCAGGACAGCCAAGAATACATAACCGATGACACAGATAACTTCATCTCAAAACAAAAAATTTTGTAGAAGTCAGGTGTGGTAACACATAGTACATCTTTTATCCTAGCACTCGGGAGAACAAAGTAGGTGGATCCCTGAGTTCAAGGCCAGTCACCCATAGTACATAGCAAGATACTGTCTCAAAAATAAGCAAAGAATAAAAAAAAAAAAAAAACCAAAACACTAAAATACATTATACATCATGATTTTTAAGAAATGGGGGAACAAACTCAGTGGAGGCAACACCGGAATGACAGGAGGTGGTGCTTCCAACTAGTCTCAGGAACCCAGTCCAGCCCACAATGCCTTTGCAAAGGTAATATATATGGTTTATCTACTCTATTATTAGCTGCTTCTTAAAAAGCTCCCAAACTTCCAGCCTTCAAGGTGAACTTGACATTTTTGTCATCACAGAAAACATTAATGTGAAAGCATACTTCTAACAATTTTGCTCCAAAAACTGTTAAATAGGATTGAATTGTTCTACTACTGTCCAGGAAAGGGATGGTAAATGACAGTTGAGCCAGATCTTCTCATTTCTAGAGCACTCTCTGTACTCCCCGTTGTTACTTAATTACACAGTAATACAAAAACAGAACCAGTTAACTTCCCAACACCTGTTCCCAATGAGACTTGCAACTTCTTGAGAGTGAAGGATCCTGGGACCTGTACTGGAGCAAACATGCTCTATCCTCTATGGACACCAATGGTGCTTTAAGAAAAGACTCTTGAGCCAAATGGGTGCTCATAGTAAGAGGATTTTAAATTTACTAATCTAAATCACTAATTAAAAATGCACGTCATACATCAGGCTGATAAGCCATTACCAAAATAAATCTTCTCACTTTAGTTGGTATATTTGTACTTAATGATATTTTACCTTTTCTTTCCCTCAGGAAATGTGTTACTTTTGTTATTGCAGCTAATTTGATTAACCAAAACAAACTGTAAAAAATGGAAGAAAATGTATGCGATGTTTACTTTAAGAATCTCAGGAACTGCTGTAAGACATATGTGGCAAAATAAGAAGGATGCTATTAATCTGGAGAGGGGAGGTAAAAAAAAAAAAACCGAATTAGGAAGATATAACAGAAACACTAAGACTTTCATAAGTGTATAATACCCTAAATTAGATAACATCTGGAGGGAAATTGCAGACAAGGTGACCAAGCCATCTTCTCACAAGTTATTCCTTCCAGCTAGCTGTCAGTTATTCAGACAGAAATGCCTGCTTTCCTGCTACCCACAAAATCCAAGCAAGCTTACCAATCTGCTCACAGATCTCTCCAAACTGTACACTTCACCTTTATGATAAACTGGCCAATTGCAAGGAAAACCAACACTAACTTCCAAGTTACCCTAAGAGAAACCCCAATCAGAGGCTCGATTTTGTTCCTGAAGGAAAGGGAGAAATGATGCAATTATATTATGATCTCAGAAATTTTAAAAAAAGACGTAAAAAAGTCTTCTGAAAAATACATCCCAAACACAAAATAATTTCAGGGATCATGCTACTTTTCCCATGCACAGTTACATGTACGTGATCTCAACACTTGACAAATCCATGGAGGCAACACTAGATACACTCAAGGAAAAACCTGAGATTTAGAAACAGGAATCAGTAGAAAACACTGCCAACAACCCTTGGAGGGTCTAAAGAAATCAGTCAAAAACGCCATCGGTAAAGATAGCTATCAATCCCTAATCTTCATAGTACAGTTAATGTAGGATGCAGGTCCCAGTCAGTACGTAAATTGGATTCTGAGACCTAGCTTGCTGATAACATCCACAAAGATACGAAGGCACAAGATCTTACAACAACAAAAGTTAAACATTTTAGATTTTAAAAAGAAAACACTGGCAATTAATTTACTGGTAAGCAAACCCTGCGTTGGCCAAACAAACCAGATCAGCTGGACACAATTTAAAACTTAAGGACTAGGGATCCAAGTAGGTAGTGATTGGAAGCTAGAGAACAAACAACCGAAAAAAACCATTAAAACGAAGTTCAAAGAGTTGATATGGAAATCTGCCCGAGCCTGAGAAGGTCCCAATACTCAACTCCCTGGGCAGTTTTGTTTTTTGTTTTTTAGTGAATGAGACTACGAGGGCACTGGAAACCATAGACGATGTATCAGTGCCTGGGGAGCGTGGAATGACCGGGGACTCGAGCTATCCTCACCGCTGGCCCCCGGGGTCTGCGGGGCTTCGCCTCCCGTTGATCGCTGCCTGCGACCTGAAGCGGCCAGGGTCGCTGCTCCGCCGGGGCTGGGAACCGAGGGCACCGCGTTCCCGGACCCTTTGACTCGCCCTCCTCCTGCCCCGCCAAGAGGGACTCCATTTCCTGAGGAGGGGACTGCGGCTGCCCGTCCTCGGGCTCGGCCTCGGCCAGCGGCTACCTGGCGCCAAGCGTCCATCCCTGCAGAGGAGAGATAAAGGAGAAGGAGCGTGAGAGGGGTCCGAGGCTGCGGGCGGCTGCTGAGGAACCCGCCAAGTAGGGCCTGGGTGCACACAGACCCCCGCGACACGGAGACCCGGTCTGGGGAGGTCGCGGCCCTGTGTCTCCAGAGGGCGAGTCCCTGCCGAACCCCAGCTGGAGCGACGGGCGAGGAGGAAGGGGGGGAGCAGAAAAGAAACACGGAGCCACGAGGACCCCCACCCGGGATAGGAAGCGCCAGGCCACCGGAAATCCTCCTCCGCCTCAGGACAAGTGCGGTGGGCAGAGAAGCGAGGACTGACCCTGCGGCCCCGGCCGGGAACCAACTGCTGGGGGGACCACGCCGAAAGCTACGTCTCCTTACCGACGGCGCCCACCGCCAGAGACTACAACTCCCAGAAGCCTCCGCCCGCGGACCCCAGAATGCGTGGCAGTGCCGCCGCTTTCTTATCCGGAAGCGGCTAAGGAATTCTTAGCGCGCATGCGCTCATGGGATTCTTCTCAGTCTTTGGGAACTATATTTCCCAGCGGGCTCTGGGGCTCGTGAGAGGCGAACACCTTCACTAGTGAGCGCTCCCAGAGCGTCCTCTTAACCCATCCCTTAGCAAAGGCTCTCCGGAAATCCGCGGCGTGTCAGGATTCGGTCAGAGAAGGCTCAGTTGACCTAAAGTTGTCTTCGTCATTGTCTTGCTGCTTGCAGGTGGCAGTAAGATTCTCGTCCTTAAAGTTCTTACAAAGAAAATACTGTGAACGCCGTGGGAAAGCTACTGGAGCGTTGCAGGAAAGTGGCTTGAGTTGAGAAATCTCCCTTCTGAACTCCCAAAGAAACCCAACCCCTATTATTACCGTCTTTAAAAGTTTAACGAGCGTTCCCCTGGAGACGTCTTATTTTACCTTCAAGACTGCTCCCTCAAGTATGTTTCATTAAGGAAAATAACTGAGAGCCAAGAGCTAATCTGTAGACTGTACTCAATATGCTTTAGCACATGTATAGATTACAGAAATTCGTTTAGTGATATGTCTGGGACCGAGCAAAATTTTGGTTGATATTTGGAATTATACAATCGCTAAATTACCCTCCAACTTAATTCCCCAGCATACCACAAACATCTAATTGATGCCATTTAATGGGTCCAGTATCGCGCAAAATATTTACACATATGTTGCATTTGCATATATATGTATTTATACATATTTAAAATTTTCATCTGTAATATGTCGAGATGAATCACAAGGATGTATTTAAAAGTATGTATTAAAGTCTATTACAGTAGCAGTTCCATTGTTATGAACTTATTGAACACATGTGAGAAGTGTGCTCACTTCTTGTGGAATTAAGACTTCATCTGTCAAGATTAGTTATCCTGCGTGTGGAAATGTTCTGTACTGATAAGAGTAGTTTCACAGGCATGCAGACATTACAACTCATCAATTATGTATTTGTGACTTGCACTATTCACTACATGTGCATTGATCCTCTATTTTTAAAAACTATTCCACCTAAGTCTAGAGAAATAATGTACCTTGATATGCCTGTTGTCCAGCCATTTGACAATGCAATTTAATTGTCGTAGTGACATATCGTCTTTATTTGGATTGGTTTTGCCAGTTTCTATACTCAACTCTTCAAATGTATTTATATTTTACATATACAGTTTTACTTAAATACTGCCAGTTATTAATGTATTGCCTCTCTCTTCACAGTCCAATATATGTGTCCTATAATCCTGACTCCTTTAAGCATCTTGAGTTCCCTTTATGTCTTCTCAATAGAAGGCGCTAGGGAGACATTGCAGGCACCAAGTGAGTTCCTGGTGTTAATTATGGATGTAGGCCAGCAGCAGATCAGTCACCTTGCCCCTCTACCTGTCCTAACAATACCTTTCCTTTAACACAGAACCTGGCCGGAGGTCCTTCTTTTCATGTTCACACCTGATTACCACTCCCTTTACTACTGATGTTTCTCCTGACTCTGCTCAGTACCGAATCCATTGCAAATCAGGCACAGCCCACCGGGTCTTAAGGTCCTGCGCTCAGCACTCCCACTCCTCCACTTGCTATCATTTGTCCATGTCGGCACTCCAAAAGCCTACTCCATGCTTGCCCTGTAGACTGGCACTGTACAAAACAGACCACCCATCTCCTCTGTTATCCCTTGTGCAGAACTATACTTTTATAATTCGATGCTGCTGGGACTTTTTTGGGAAGGCCCACATTGGGTGAGTGACAGAGGTTGCTTGGGAAGTTATATTGGAGGAAGGAAAGGGAGTAGGGGAAGGGGAGGAAGAGAGGGAAGAGAGAGAGAAGAAAGAAAGAGAGAGGCAAAGACCTTACCTCTTCAGAGGAGCCCTGGGAAAGAAAGAGCAGAAGTGGGCGGAGCTTATGTCTTGAGAATTTGTGCCTCTATACAGAGACAGGGTACTGCCTGCCATACATGCAGGGTGGTGCACTTGGCCAGGTCTGCAAGGGGCAGGGTTGAGGTGTGCCTGCATACTAACATATACCATTTCTGATAAAATCTGGATTCCAGTATTGGAAAGAGGCACTTTACTTTGTGTTTCCATTGGTAGTCTCCTTCAGCCTTCAAATACAATATACAGCTTCTGGAGATGTGTAACAACTCAGTGGTAGAGTACCTCCCTAGTTTGCAGGAGGCCTCATACTGATAAGACCACCAGCACCACAATAAAACAAGAAAGCAAAATAAAGCAACTTCCTTATGGTCATTTTTTATCAGAATTTTAAAATTCTTTATATTAAACTTAACCCACTATGTGTTTTCTAGTCCCATTTGTGTCTACAATGATAAAGACACTATATGCATTATATCACTGTGTTATCAGCCAGGCACACACAAACCCCTTGCGGACCTAGCATGCATGGCAGGTAGTACCTTGGCTCTGTAAGCAGGTGCAAAGGTCCCTTTAAGAGGCAAGCTCCGCCTCCTTCTGCTCTCTTTCTCTGAGGAGGCAGGTCTCTCTCTCTCCCTCCTCTCTCTTCTCAATCTCTTCCCTTCTCTTATTCCCTTCCCCCAATAAACATTCCACATAAGTGCTACCTGATGGCGATTTGTCTCTCACCTGCCACGGGGTCTGGCTCAAGGTCCCACCTCATGCTGTATTCATAACACAATGTCCTTCCAAATTCCAATGCACTCCAATGAAACTAGGGGCAGGGAAGAAAGTGTTGTGAAGGAAATAAAAAACAAATATGTGTCTTAGTTATTGTTCTTATTGTGGCTGTGAAGAGACATTGTGACCAAAGCAACTCTTAAAAATAAAAAGCATTTAATTGGGGGATTGCTTACACTTTCAGGGATTTAGTTCATTATCATCTTGGCAGGAGGGGCTGAAAGAGATATAGCCTGAGACTGGTATGGGCTTCTGAAACCTCAAAGCCTACCCACAGTGACATACTTCCTCCAACAAGGCCACATCTATTCTAACAAGGCCACACCTCCTAATCCTCTAATTCTTTCCATACTTTCACTCCCTGGTGACTAAGCATTCAAATATATGAGCCTGTGCAGCCATTCTCATTCAAACACTGCAATATGCAATTCAAATTTTCCATTCAAGAAAATATTAAAAACAGTTCACCCATAGATGGGGCAGAGAATAATTAGAAACAATAAGTAGCCAGGTTGATTTTTCAGACCAGGTTAAAGTGCATGTAACTCTAGGAAATGACTTGCTGTTCTTAGTAATGCTCAGAATTATGTTATTTCAAAGTATTTATAATGTGAATGTTATGGAAATAAATAATTTTAACAAAACATTTTACTATTTCTTTAAAGAATTTCATATCAGAAATATACCAAAATTTCATCATATTTTGAGGAAACTGCCTTGACTCCATTTGAAGGTAGGAGCCATTATGTTGTATTTCTTTTTTTTAAAAAAAAAAAAAAAGTTTCTATTTATTGTGAGAGTTGAGTTGCTCTCTGTTTCTTGGAACCTGGTCTTCTGAAACCCATGACCTTTATTTGTTTTGGTGAATACCCTTACCCTCCCTGACCCTCCCTGAACCCTCCCTAATAACATAGTAGGTGACCATATGATTTTTTAAGGTTTTTTTGTATTTTCTTATTGCCCCATTGTCTCCCTTCTGTAAAACTGCTTGTGATTTTACTCCTTAAAGGGGGCCCAAGAGGTGTATTGTAACACAAATAATAAAAACCCAGAGACTGATATTGGGGTTCAAGCTGAAGATCAGAGAAGCAAAGCAGCCAGCCACTAGCTCTTACCTCTACCTCACACTGAAGTGAGTTATCCTGAATCCTCAGAGTCAATGTTTTCCCTGTCTGGAAACTGAATCCCACATGAGACTTCTTTTATCCCTCCCTAGTACTAGGATTAAAGGTGTTGTTGTACCCAAATTTTGAACCCCCCAAATCACCAAGAGACCCATTTCAGGATTGGTGTGCTTTTGAGCTTGGGTGACCTATCTAGTGCTGATTGGATAACTGGTTGTTATGACCTATAGGCCCTCCCAGGGCGGTTGCTATGTTCTGCAAGTCACTGTTACACCACTTTTAAAGTAAAGCACACCCAGAGCCCTAAAGCACACCCAGAGTCCTGCCAGCTAACTTCTGATTGGCTCCTTGCCACATGGAGGGTATTTGGCTTCCTAGTGACTGGGGCATGTCCAGCAAGGTCAGAAGGTTGGAAAGTCAGCAACATGTGCTGAGTCATTATCTTGCTGGGTCTTTTCTGCAGCCTGTCATGGCTGCTAAAGCAGGGAACTGGTGAAGGTCTGGTCCTTTCAATGTGAGCTCTGTTATTCTTTTTGGTTGATCCACTCTCAGTGAGTCTAATGGCCAGTCCACATTGTCAGGCACTGTGCCTGCAAGCTACTCAGAGACAGGAAGAAATTCCTGCCAAGTACCAGGAGAAACTGGGGATAGAGATAGAGTGAAGATTCTGAGAAATAGGAAGAGTAAGGCTTTAACAGGAGGCAAGAGAGATTTGGGTGTTGGACAGCATGAGAAAATGGCAGAATGAGCATAAGTCTGACAGTTCTTGGGTGGAGCTCTGGCTATTAGGTGACATAATTAATATAGAAGTTATTGGTAACTGTTATGGTAGAAGCTTCACCTCAGCCCCCGGCATCAATGTACCCAAAGAGTCTGGAATGTTATGATGGAAGTTCCACCAAAGCCCCCTTCCCCTATCTCCTTCTAAGCCCTGCTATGTCTCAGAGAGCACAACAAATGATAGCCCCTCCTCCAGAGATGCTCAAGACCACTCCCACAGGGTATTTAAACTGCCCCTCAGAAAATAGACATGTGGTTTTCCAGTCTCTCTCTCTCTTTTTATTTTTTATTTATTTATTTATCTATTTATTTATTTATTTTTGGTTTTTCGAACAGGGTTTCTCTGTGTAGCTTTGGAGCCTATCCTGGCACTCACTCTGGAGACCAGGCTGGCCTTGAATTCACAGAGACCCCCCTGCCTCTGCCTCCTGAGTGCTGGGATTAAAGGCATGCGCCACCAATGCCCGGCTTTTCCAGTCTCTCTTTCCTGTCTCCTCTCTGGGGGACTAGAAGGTTATTTGGGAGCGCTGTATCCATTAAACGTGGGCTTTTTATAATTCAATTTGATTTGGTCTGATTTGGATTGCTGCATTGGCAGAGAGGTTTATTGGGGTGCAGAAACTTTTCAGTAACATTGAGGAGGAGTTTTGGAGGAGTGATAGCAAAGCTTAATTGTGTTATATCTTATTGAAGAAAGAACAATAAGAGAGGAACTCTAAAAGACTGAACTTTATCAGTCTTCCAGCAAAAAACAGAGTGATGGGACATTATCTGGAAGCAGAAAAGGATAAGGCATTGGTATTTCTTTAATATTTGAGAATATCTAAGCCATTAATCACTAAGAAGGACCATTCCATAGACTAGTAAAATATGAAGATGAATAGAAAAGCATCTTAGAGGTCTTAGGGTATCTATAGCCATGATTAAAAATAAAAAATGGGCCAGGCAGTGGTGGTGCATGCCTTTAACCCCAGCACTCGGGAGGCAGAGGCTGGCAGAGCTCTGTGAGTTTTAAGCCAGCCTGGTCTACAGAGCAAGTTCCAGGACAGGTTCCAAAGCTACACAGAGAAAACCTATCTCAAAAATCAAAAAAATAAAATAAAAAAATGACCTAAAACAACCTGGAAAAGAAAGGATTTATTTTGCTTACAGTTTTATATTATAGTCCAACATCCAAGGTAGTCAGAGCAGGAGCTCAAGACAGTAGCCTGAAGGCAGGAACTAAAGACGAAGCCTTGAAGAAAGGTTGCTTACTGGCTTGCTCTCATGGCTTGCTCAGCCAACTTTCTTATATACCCTAGGAACACCAGCCCAGGACTGTCATGACCCACAGTAAGCTGGGCCTCCCCACATCAATCATCAATTAAGAAAATGCACCACAGGCTTGCCCACAGACCAATCTGGTAGGGCCATTTACTCAGCTGAAGTTCCCTCTTCCCAAATGAGTCTAGATTGTGTGATGTTGACATGAAGCCAGCCAGCACAGAGGGGAATGATCAATATTTGGTCAAAGCAAAGCTCTCAAGTCCATGACAATATAAGAGGATATGCACTACCAGAGGATAGAAATATTAGGCAGGAACTCAATCTGTCCATTGCAATAGATTTAGTCCAGGCAATGCTCAGACCTGTCCCCATCCTGAGCACTGCAATGAAAAGTCCCTAACTTCTAATGTAGTGATCTCTAATGGTTCCAAAGATCTAATGCAATGCACAGATCATGTTTAGATATGTTCCTGTTATTCCTGTTCTCTCCAAGATCTTTATCATGAAGGGATGTTGGATTTTGTCAAAGGCTTTTTCAGCATCTAGTGAGATGATCATGTGGTTTTTCTTTTTCAGTTTGTTTATATGGTGGATTACATTGATAGATTTTCATATGTTGAACCATCCTTGCATCCCTGGGATGAAGCCTACTTGATCATGGTGGATGATTTTTCTGATATGTTCTTGGATTCGGTTCGCCAATATTTTATTGAGTATTTTAGCATCGATGTTCATGAGGGATATCGGTCTGTAGTTCTCTTTTTCTTAGTCATATTTTATGTGGCTTGGGTATCAAAGTGATTGTAGCCTCGTAGAAAGAGTTTGGCAATATCCCATCTGCTTCTATTGTGCGGAACAGTTTGAGGAGTACTGGTATCAGCTCTTGTTTGAATTTCTGGTAGAATTCTGCAGTGAAGCCATCTGGCCCTGGGCTTTTCTTGGTTGGGAGGTTTTTGATGACTGCTTCTATTTCATTAGGGGTTATGGGTCGCTTTAAACTATTTA